AGGTATTTTCCTTCCAAATACAGATGTGGTATTACTCCACTGCTTTGAGTATTACTTATGTGAAAAATGATTTCGGAATCTAGTCCAGTGATAAATTGATTATCAATTAGTTGTTATACCCGTTTGTCTTTTTATGATGCAGATGCATGGTGAATCAATGAAGTTTTTCTCGAAGTTTTCAAGGTAGCACCCACAGGTAGCACCAAAATTATTGCAAAACACAGTAGGTTATAACTAAGACGAAACTATAAACAGAAACCAAAAGCCAAAGCCAACAAAAAATCACTAAAATCAGACGGAAAAATGAGACTAACCAAAAACATAAATAAATACACGTCACATCTTTGGAGTCTTTGGTTAAGTTTTTCACCCATAAGGCTTAAAAATGGAGTAAGAAATCAGAATTTTACCAGTAGCCCCATCTAGAGTTTGGAGCAAATAGCATAAAAAATGTCAATTGTCGGTTTTGACCTTGGTCATTCACGTGGAACCTCTATGTGCTTTGTGATTCCAACCGCTTATGAAACATGTTTCTTTGCTTTTAAAACATGTTTGACGACGATGAACACGGCCAATATAACGTCATTATAATGACGTAAGCACCTTGACCACACTTGACTTGGTCACATTTCTAGTAACTGATTTAAAATCGCCTTTACATAACACACAAACAAAAATTCATGATACCTGCCAATTAGGCATTCCAACGACCTGTCAAACAATAGGTGCCAGTGGGAAATTCTTGTATATTTAAGGGGGTAGCGACATAGTCTTGCAACTTGGACGCTATTTTTATTCGAAGTAGTACTCGCCAAGCCTGCCAATTTATGAAGAAATGTATAGGTGTGTTTTTTAAATATTATTTTTATTGTGTTTGACATAAAATATTTAAATGTAATCCATTATTCATGATTTTACGTAAAGTAGATAGAATACACCATAAGTCGCCACCCTTAGATATACCAAACCTGCCCACTGGTAATTCATTTGTTTGGAATGCCTAATGTTATACCCATTGTGAAGTTAGTGTCAATATAAACCAAACATTTTTAAATCAGATTATTAGAACGTCATTATAATGACGTAAGAACCTTGACCACACTTGACTTGGTCACATTTCTAGTAACTGATTTAAAATCGCCTTAAGTCGTTTATATGCTGCGTTTGAGAATCCACATCGGATGCATTTTTTACATCTCGAGCGTTTTTTTATCCACATTGGACACATCTGTCCCATTACATTTACGTATACTGAATCACGTGATCAAAGATTTTTTACATCTCAGATGCATCCGATGTGGATTCTCAAACGCAGCAATGGGCATCTGAAAATAAGATCGTAGCGCCATCGTGGCATACATTGGAACCCTCTTCCCTGACATTGGTTTTTTGTTTATGTATTGTTTTTAAATGTGCTTTGGGTTTTAACAATTTTATTTTATCATTTTTATCGTTAATAAGAGAACATTTTATCTGGAAAAGTTATTGCTATTTATTTCATTATTTATTTTATAGGTAAGTGTGCCTTTTCACCACAATCTACCATAAATAAAAAAAATATTTTTAAGGTTATTTTTGATTTTCAAAATTTTTTACTTTTATTTCGTAGTCTAATGTATATTTTGTTATATTTAAGGATTAATTTGGCGAGATGAAATTAAGCATAATCGACTACATGGACTATCTTGGGGGTACGAACACATCTAGATGTGTTTATGAAGGTGAAGAAGTGTTAAATGCTGGACATTTAATTATGTGTGGTAAATTGGACTCTACGAGCCAAGAAAAGAATATAGTTGTGTGTGGTTTATGTTTACAAACTAGTGACTTGAAATCTCATCCTCACGAAATAAAGGGCCAGCTGGAAATTATAAACAAAAAATTAAAAGTGAAAAACATGAACTGTTCTTGCAAGGCTGGAAATAGTGGAAAGTGCAAGCATATTTCTGCTCTTCTAATTAAGTGTACAAGGTGTATGATGTTGCTAATTTAAAAAAGGCGTTATCGTGCCATATCGATTCTTAATAAGATTGAAGTTAGTGCTTATGTTTTCTGTGCATTTTCTGCTGTTGTTTATTTTGTTTTAGGGTTGATTTGGAAACATTAGAGGACATTTCACAAACTCAAATAAAATGTACATGGTCAAAACAAAAAAGTTTGACTGAAGAAAAGTACCATGCTGTATCAATAAATCAGATGCCTTGTATCAAAAATGTGGATGACAAGGAATTGAAATTGGTAGTTGATGCAGAGAAAATGTACAATTTTTTTATTCAAAAACTACCTTCCTCTGCACTTGCAAAGCATAAGTAAGTTTTGTAAATTAAAGAAACGTTTCTTTTTTGATATGTGTATTGTACTTGCCCTTCAATAAATAATAAAAGAAAGCTGAAATTAATAAATTTTAATAATAATATTCCTTTATTTTACATTAATAAATATACAAAAAAATAACTAATTCGCAAATTAATTTTTAGGTTTGGGTGAAGACCAGTTCCTGATCATACCACTCTTTTGACAAATGATTTTAAAGAACATGAACATTCTATTTCCAGCATTTTAAATAATGCTGTTCAGTCACCACTAATGATGGAATTGTATTCTTTTGAAGTTAGTTTTAAATATGACTGTTGTGAACAATTGTATATTAAACTTTTTCAAAACAATGAAGAACCAATAGTTTTATCAATACAGCAGTCAAAAGCATGGTATGATCAGAGAAAATTTCGGGTTACTGGATCACGAGTTTATGGTTTGTATACCTATTCTGGAAACGACTGGGAAAATAAATCCATAAAGTATTTTTATCCCAAGAATTTTACGAATAAATTTATCAAACATGGAATAAAATATGAAGCTGAGGCTAGAGATGTTTTCAAGGAGAAAACTGGCTTCATGGTTACAGAATGTGGGTTAATAATTTCCCATTCTAATCCTTGGCTCGGATACTCCCCTGATGGGATTATAATGGAGGAAGATAAACCTGTAGCTTTATTAGAAATTAAATGCTTATACAATGGTAATTCTGTATAAATTAACAAAACATTTTTTTTAGGTAGTTCAGCTACAATTAACGAAATACTTCCGAAGGCAGCATTTTTGAATAAAAGTCATGACTCTTTTGAACTGAAAAAAAGACATCAATATTATGGCCAAATACAGTTGGGTATGGCTATGTTAAATGTGCCAAAATGTTATTTTGTAGTTTATGCCTCATTTGACAAATCATTAAAAATATTTGAAATAGATTTTGACCATGAATTTACAAAGGAAATGTTATTTACTGTCAAATATAATTTTTTTCAAAAAATGATACATAATTTGTGTGCTAACATATAAATAAATATTATTTATAAATATTTAGTTAATAAAGTGTATTTTTATAATTTTATTCTTATTAGTTTTTCCCTTCCATTTAAATTTACAAAAAACATCCTAGCCTTCAACCCAACCACTTCATATTCCCTCTGGTTGTTACATTAAATTTATTATCTGCAAAAGACATCCTAGATTTAGTTTAGTAACACACTTTTGTAAAGTTGAAATTCCCAACCAGGGATACTTATGAGTATTTCTACTCAAATATGTTTAATACCTAAAAATTTCTTCTGAAGTCGAGCCCGGCCCTTATTTTCTTCTTTAAAATTATTTGTAATTCAATTTTACTAAAAACTTGCTATAGCAAACCCTTTATTTAATAATTTATGTTCTTTGACTTTTTGTTTTTGGTTGTGTTTTATATGCTTGCAAGAAACCATCTCATTTGCTTTTAAATGTAGGGTGGGTAAAGCTACAATTAATTAAATTGTGAATTATGAATAATTGCAGAATATTCTAAAATCTTACCATTAGTTTTTAATTTTAGTTTTGTTCAGTTCGTATGATTCTCGTACGAATGTCATCTATAGACTTCCTTAAAATGAACACTGCATATGTTCACAGTTTTAACATTGATCTGATATTTTCTAAAACAACATTACATCCATATTGTTTGTGAATGGTCGCTTTTTGGGAAAGCGAAAAAAATATTCTTGCTTCTGGTGATCAGCGGCCTCTCATGGCCAAAATATTGGAGAATTACATTGACAGAATAAAGATCTTAGTACAGATTTAGGTAAAAAACTTTCAGTGTTTATAATATACCTCTCTAAAACACTGAAAGATGAACTTTACCTATTGGTTCAACATTCTATTACAAATAAATTAATTGGTTTGACAACACTGTAGTGTGTTTATCCTACTTACATAGTGCGGTAATAGTATATTACGTAACAAGAGTTCTAAATAACCTATTACGCACGAAGTGAAAAAGTTTAACAAGTGCAAAATGGGCTTACAACTCGTGTAACGTACTATACTTTTTCTACGCCCACTTATTTTCTTCTATAAAATAAAGGACATATGCTTGTGTCGCCAATCCATAAATTTTCGATAAGTAATTTCCTACTTTTTTTTGGATTTTATCGGTAACAAATTATGTGTGTTAGCTTGAGCTTTTTCTAAAATCTTCAGTGGAGTGCTCATAATTTCATCACCTTCACTACTAACAGATATATTTGTAGGTAAAATTGAGAAAATGTTCGAATACAATAATTATTGTTACAAAAATTAACAATGCTAAGAAAACGCGAATTATTTTTTGAAAAATTGTATGTGTTGCTGACATTTAGGGGCATCACTTTTTTAATCCAAAATGTATCTCGCTAATTCTAAAAGTTTTTTTTGTTTTTCAATTGACTAAATTTATGTAAATAGACCAAATAAAGTAGAACCTAGATAAAAATTTGATTGCAATTTGATTAAACTAAGAAATTTAAGTTTTCTTATCAAAACGCACGTGTATATTACGAGATCTCATTACGTGCATGTTATTGTTAAATGTCATTTACAAGGAATGTTGACAGTGCGATTTTTAATGTTTACTGACATGGGCGTAGAAAAAATAAATTTGAATCGCCAATACAAGATAATAAAAGGGTCTTAATAAACAAAAATACAAATTCAGAAACACATATATATTAAATGTATTTACATCAAATTTATACATATTGACGAATTAAAAAATTACAAATCTTTAATTTTGAAATATTTTTTTTTGTATGAATGGAAAATTACAAAAACACGGTTCTAAAAATCTGAAACATTTTTGCTATATACGATATACGATTTTTTAAAAATTATCCGTAAAATAATTTTTATGGTGGCTTACAAATTTGAGACAAACATCTGATTAGAATAAAGACAGGGGTGGGCATGTACATAGTCAGTCATCGATCAAAAGATTACTTAATAGACCACCTCTATACAAAAATACAATTATTGAAAACTCATTATTATTTTTGTACCCAAGACTGATTAGCATATTATGAATAAATACAGAAATTTTAACTAAAAAGAATAGTGATTTGATTTGACTTTGACTGTTTTATGAAAGGACACTAGTTGCAAATATTTTAAAATCAGAGCAACTGGGACAGAACGATCTGTTCCCGAACAATGTCAAATTGCTGTTATTGATATATTATAATGCAAGAAAATTAGCCCCCTACAAATAAATTAAAATAAGTTCAATTTTCTTCAGTTTAAAAAAGTAACAACAAAAATTATTCAGTCCAAGACTTAACAACTAAACCTAAAATTTATATCAATCATATTCTATCATAAGTTTCTGCTGTTGTAACAAAATTTGGTCTGCAGCCTGACAATAAAAATATTGCCCCATCCTAAAAATTATAATAAATAAGTAAATAAAATAATCGTGCATTCAGATGTAAAAAATGTAAGCTAGTCAAAATACAACAATAAAATGACACACTCAGTAAAATACAGGGTGTTTCACGAAGAAATGGAAATTTTAAGGACGTGTTCTGAAAGTCGAAATAAGCAAAACATGAATCCCGAAAAACGTCCTTTCCGAGTTATACAGTAACAAAGAAATTATAAAACAGTATATTTCATTACGAGTCCAGAAAATACGCTTACTGTGCGAGCGTTTTTCCTGTGAGGCGCAGCCGAACACCGGCAGTCATGCAAAAAGCATTTTTTTTTTGTAGCAATGGGATGGCATCAGACATGCAAGTCTATTTACCACAGAAAGTTTAAACTTAATAATTTCCATATATATTATGTTAACTATCTATTTTAGTATTTTGAGTAAATTTAATAATAGCGTCAAAAATAATCTTATCTGATTGAACTAAAAGTGAAGAAATATTGAGTGGAAGTGGGAGTGAAAGTTTATTTAAATCTTGATATAATACAGTGGTATGTTGAGCATTTTTATTACAATCTAAAAATAAATGATTGATATCTGCTACGGCGTTTATATTGTAATATGGACAAAAGGGAGAATCCAATATTCCAATTTTATATAAATTTGCAGGGAATCGGCCGTGATCGAGCTTCAAACGAGTAATTATAGATGACTGATATTTATTATAAGTTCCATGAACTGATGTAAGGAATATTCTTGGGAAGATTTGGATGTATACTATAATAGTGACTTTGTGATGCCTTCGCATGCTCAGTGTATTTAATTTCCCATCTATTTCTTACATCTTTTTTATAAATGCTAATAATATCTATAAAACTACATGAACGATACTTTTCATTATACCTCTCTGAAAACAAAAACAAGGCAAAATATATCAAGAGAATATCAAGGGATCAACCACTACCGAAATACGGTAACGTTTCTCTCGAAATTACCGAAATTCCTCCGAAATTTCCGAATTCGTTATCGAAAATCATGGTCCACATCATTACCAAAATCACTTCGTCACTCAAAAATGTAAATACAACAACTTGTGGATTAAAATACAAGGCAATAGCCCAAAAATGGTCATCATGGAAAATTAAGGATGATTTTCAGCGAAATAACCAAAATCACATATTTTTTTTAGGTGATTTCCGAAATACGGGTACGTTTTGACCTTAGTGGTCTCCCCCTAGAAGAATATCATCACTTACTGTGATAATATTTTTTTGCGGCGCCACTTGCAAAATAGATGATACTCTTCTTCATATCTCTCACAGGACTTTTTGAGCAGTAATTATGCACTAATTTTTGCCGTTTCAGGTGATATTTTTTCTTTTAGAGAAATCATTTTAAAAATATGTTTAACAAGAATGAAAACTCTCATAATAATATAGGCGCTGTTTATTGTTGCTAAGGAAACTAAATAACAGCATATAATATATTTAAAACAGCTTCATGACGAGGGGCGGTTTCTCCATTGGTTCATTTGTGCAGTGAACACCCAGTTACATTTCATAAAAACACATTATTTTAAAATAAATAACAAAAATATAAATACAATTTTAATAATTTTATTGTTTTCATACGTGTCAATCTCTATTTTTTGGTACGCCACTGCGCTCTGGCCAATTGCGCCTCTTTGGCTCACTTTTCTGAGTGAGATGCTTTCTCGAAAGCCTCTAGTTAAGAAGAGATGCCATCACGTTGACAGATCGGTGAAACGAACAATGAGCTACTGAAAATCACTAAAATCATCTTATTTTGTGCAACGCACACAGTGACGTCAGTCACAAAGTAGGGCGGGGCATACGAATCTTTCAAATCGTAGTTATAGAATAAAGAGATGCAATGACGGTACTAAAAGTATCTGCACTTTTGCATTACCCTTTTACGACATACCTATGTCAAACTCGAGCTAGTTAGTTATGGTGATAATAAATGCCATTTTTTTAAAATAGCATGATTTAAATGATATAAAAACATTTTCATTCCGTCAATCTTTAAATATAAAATTATTAACTTAAAATTAATCAAAATATGACTCCACTTGTCATATTACAAAATAGTGTTTATGTCGTCTCTACCTACTTCATTCTCTATCTTCAATCAAGCTGTCAAATTCTAAAAATCAAGTGGAAATGTAAATAGTGGACAAAAATGGCTAAAAAACTGTGTGATTTAAAAGTGACGGAGTTACGTCGGGAATTAGAAGATCGTGAGCTGGAGATGACAGGGAAGAAAGTAGAGCTGGCAGAGAGGCTTAAAGAAGCACTAGAAAGTGAAGGTTTGGATCTGGAAACGTATTTATTTTCTGATGATGCGTCTTCTATAATTTCTTCTATGAAAAGTAAAATGTCTTCCATGAAAACCGATATTTTTTTCTGACATTTCTTTATTAGAAACTAAAGTGTCTTCTGATGTTTCCTCTATAAAAAATGATAATTCCTCTTTAGAAAATAAAGTGTCTTCTGATATTTCTTCATTAGATAATAAAGTTTCTTCTTTAGAAACTAAAGTTTCTTCAGACATTTCTTCCTTAGATAGTAAAGTTTCTTCCTTAGAAAAAAAGGTGTTTTCCGAAATGTCTTCTATGGAAATTAAAGTCTCCTTTGATATATCTTCCATAAAAAATGAAATATCTGCTGATGTGAAAAATAAAATGACTTCCGTCGAGGAAAAAATAATGTCTTCCGTTGAGGAGAAAATAAAACAAATGGAGAAGAAGAAGAAGAACTGGAACAAACAGGACAGGCCAAGGACGGTGAAATAAAGTGCACTGTGGTCGAGTTAAAGTTGAAATTGGAAGCAGTTGTAAATTCTGCCCGTGTTAAAGTCCCAACTTTCTTAAACAATTCGAAGCTGCCAGAGCGAACGAATAGACTGAATGAGAAAAGGCAGTAAATTCTAGATGCTTTAGATGTCCTTCAGACTATACCTGTGGAAGAGACCGATGCTTTTGAACAACTCAAAAAGAGACTAAACATGCGATATGGCCACGAACACTTCGAGCAGGTGTACCAATTACAGTTGAAGAATCGCAAACAGAAACGTGACGAGAGCCTTCAACAATTCGAATTAGATATTGCGAAGATGGTACGATTTGCCTACCCATCAGCTCCGGAATAGATGATTGAATGTTTGGCTGTTCAAGCATTTGATTATGGACTTCGTGACCATGAAATGCAAAGAACACTCCGATTAGCCCGTTACAAAACATTGGCCGATGTCTTGTCCGCTGCTCTTGAATATGAAGAGGCTACGCTGGCTTCTGGTGGATACAGTGAAGTAAGAACTGTAAAAGAGGAAGAACAGGGAAATACATTCGACCAATTGTTTCACATGATAAAAAGCCTTATTGAAAAGCAACCGAAGACTATTAGGTGCTGGAATTTTGGTGAAATGGGAAATGTAAGCAGTTCGCGCAAACGTCCAAAGAACACTACGAATCGAAAAACCGTGTCGGTGCTGTACAGAAAGGAACGGTGGTTCCTGATAGAGGTGAAATTATAAGAGTGACGCAGTTGCAAGGAACTGTAGGGAAAGGAATGCCTGTTATGATGGAACCTTCGAAGTGTAATGAAGGTATTGGTCAACGAACTCTGTTTGGAAAGGGGTTGGCCACATCTTTACAAAGAAGTTACAGTACGACGAACGATGATTGTCAGTGATGAGTGGGCCCCTGTCAAACTTAGGGAAGAACAAGAGAACGATCCCGTTTTATAGAAGATGCGATAATGGAAAGAGGAAAATCGTCGACCTACTTGGCAAGAAGTATCGAAACTCTCTCCAGTAATTAAATCATATTGAGCGCAGTGGGACTCCTTTATCCTGGAAGAAGGTTTATTAAAGCGAGTACTAGAGAATGATGATGATTCCGAAAAGAGAAGACAGTTGGTCATTCCAAAAACTAGAGTAGCCGAAGTACTTCGTCAGTTACACGACAGTCCGTCAGGAGGACATCTCGGTGTTAAGAAAACTCTTCAGAGAGTTCGTGAAAGGTTTTATTGGATTAACAGTTCCGATGATGTAAAGGACTGGTGTAAGAAATGTACCACCTGTCCTATGAGTAACGGACTCCAACGAAAAAGGAAGGCCCCATGAAGCAGTTCAACGTCGGTAGCCCATTTGAGAGGATTGCCTTGGATATTGCTGGACCACGCCCCATGACCAAGAATGGTAATAAATACATGATGGTGGTTATGGATTATTCACGAAGTGGGTGGAAGTCTACGCCATTCCAAATCAAGAGGCCGCAACTGTTGCAGACGTGTTAATAAAATAATTTATCAGCAGATATGGAGTGCCCTTGGAGATCCAGTGACCAAGCCAGCTTTTCCGAGGAATCTGTGACAGACTAGGCATGAAGAAAACCAGAACTACGGCATTGCACCCACAGTCAGATGGAATAGTAGAGCGAATGAATAAATCCATTGGCAAATACCTGTCAAAAAGTAGTTTCCAACTATCAGCTAGATTGGGATGAGTATATTTCGCTCTTCGCAATGGCATGTAGATCCGCTGTTAATGAATCAACAGGCCAAACACCAGCAAAAATGTTCGGGCGTAAGATGAGACTACCGTGTGTTTGGATGTTTGGATACCGACCTGGAGTACACATAGCCGGTGAAGAATATGTGATCCAGCTATGAAGAAAAATGGACGACATGCATGAATTAGTTCGCTCGCATCTTCAAATCGCCAACGACATAATGAAGAAGAGATACCATGCCCATGCAACAGAAGGATGTTTCAAGGAAGGCGACAAAGTCTAGCTTCATAATCCAAGAAGACAAAAGGGTTATTCTCCGAAGCTTGAAAGGTCTTGGGAAGTTCCGAACCTCATTAAGAAAAAATAAATTATGTTATTTACCGTATAATTAAGATCCTGAACGGTAAAACGAAGGTAGTTCACCAAAACCGGCTGGCGCCACTTGAGGGTAACCATGACGATGAAGAAGTAAACCA